GATTGCAAATAACAGTTGAACGACTGCATCAACTGATCAATTTCATATCACAGTTGCCTTGCAAAACGGCCTGGTCAGCAAGGTGGTACCGCATGACTCACTGGAGGAAGAAACCAACAAACTAACCCAGAAGATCTGCATGGCCAGCCGGTCGGTCATCGCACTAGGCAAAGTCTGCTTCAACAGACAGATGAAGAAGACCCGGGCCGAGGCATACGAGTAAGGAGTAGACCTCTAACAGGAGATTTCCAAATCTTTGTCTCAGGCTCAGGGTTTAGTTTTGGATATCCAGTCTGCGGAGGCGACACAATTTCCATTTCTCTGATACAGCAACATCCAGTCGTTTAATGCAGGCCAAAGCTTGGAGAAGATTCACTAGATTCAAATAGTGAATACTGTCTTGATTTAGAGAAGGGTAATGGCCCTCGTTATATCTCTTACTAAGACAAGATTATTTCTTGGGTCCATTAGTTTTGGTTTACAAGCATTGAGGGGAGCCAAGATACCTGACCTTGTATTGGCAACACCTACAAAGGTTTTGAAATCTTATTTGTTGCTAATGGAACCTGAAATGGAAACAATGTCACGTCTTACACAGTAAGGGACTTGTCTTCAACAGAGCTGTATTATGGACAGAGTTGTGACATGAGGTTGTGTATGACCCCATATTGTCTCCCGGACCTGTGGTGGTGGTGCACAGGTTGCACTTACCAATTGGAAAGTTGCTGTAAACTACAGTGCCTTAAAGTGACGAACAAATCACAGTGGGATGTAAGCACGAGTGTTTCCATGCATGCAGACTTTGGAACCAATATGGCTTCTAATCTAAAGTTGTCACCGTTAAAATGAATTAACCCCTTCATTTGAGTCCAGGGTGATGGTCTTTCTATTCTGTGTAGGCAAGCCAGTGACGTGATGGTGCAGAATCTGGGCCTGGTGGACGGCCAGGAAGGCATCCAGGCCTTCATCCAGAAGCGCAAGCCGGCCTGGACGCACAGCTTTGACAAGGTGCAAGAGGAATGAGGCTGGGACAGAGGAGCTATGCACAATCCTAACCCAACAAAATGAGTCGCCCGTCACCGATGTCACTTTTGATTTTTTACGAGCTTAGTATCTGCCCCGAGTAGAGGTGCACCCTCAGTGGCAAAGAAGGGACAGGCTGCTGGGAAGCTTTCCAGCCTGGCCCATGCACACACCCTGCATTCCAATAAAAATAACTTGGCAGTGTTTTTTGAGCACATCCAGTGATAAACTCACATGAAATTGTGTACGCATGTGGTTGGTTCCCTCCCAATGACTTTGGTTGCTACTGAAAGATATACATGTACATGTGCCCTCTTAATTTCCTGCTCTGAGCGGATAGACAGACCATGTACAGCACAACTAGGGACCGTATTATGTTTTTACCTACCAATTGTTTGGATTTTAAATTGAATTATGTCAAATTGGGAAGCTTTAGTAGGTTGAATTTTCTTCACACTACACATGCAAACAGGTTAAAAATATGCTCGACTCATTTTGTTGGATCTGGTTTCGTATGGTGAAGCTATTTTTCTAAAAGAAACAAACACAATGATTTTAAATATGTATTTTGTCAAAAGAACATTTATCGGAGCTAAAGTGATTTTGGACATTCAGGCTTTACTTAAGATTTGAATTGAAAACTCAGCAATTTGCCAAATTGAATTTTTAACTGCTCTTCCCCCCGCTAGCGGGTATTGACTGGTTAGACATCATTCTTCATTACTGTGACCATTTAGTGCACTGTCTCATCTATTTTCCACAAAATTGTCTCTTTTTTGGGGGGGTCATGATTTGGCCGAAACCCCTCATCTATGAAAAGTACAGCATACTTTGTTTTGAGTTTCATTTTTTTTGGGGGGGAGGGTTGTTGGGAGAAACAAAATTGATTTTGAATTTTAAGTGCTGAACATAATTGTGTGGATTAATTCTTGAAAACAAAAACAAACTGAAAATCAATTTTTTACTGCAAATTATATATAACGAAATAATGAAGCATATTGTAGTTTGTTCCTGTTAAATTTCTGTTTAATCTAAGTTTTAAACTATACACCATAATGATCGTATCAATACCATTAAGCTACTATATAAGAATCACAAATGTATTCTCTTCTGATAAACGTCATTCTTTTATCATAAATTTTTATCCTTTTTGTATAAATGTATCCTTATCTTTGGTAAAATTACAATTCCAGTCATTTTTACATTCTTTTTAATGAAATTCACTCCCTGTTATATGAAAATCATTGGACCCAATGACATATACACCCCAGGATTTGAAATAACAAATTCCCCTCTTCCTAATTTTTCATGATGCAGTGTTTAGGGTGTGAAATAAAGGATCAGTATTCACTAAGAATGTGTACATATATTTTAAGGTGTTACAGAATTATTATTTTAAAAACTCTTCCAGTGACAACTAGTGCTCCTTTTTTTCCTGTGCAGTTTGGTCAATTTTTAGAAATATTGGAAGGCTTCAAATCCGAGGAAATATCTAGAAGTATACGCTATCTTAAGTATGACATTGATAAGGCACTTGTTTTAGAAAGCAAACTTAAATAGTTTCTTTTTTTCCCCGGCACTGCTTTTAGTTTGAACTCTTTTCTTCATACTTTCTTGTGTGTGTACTTCATGTGATGATAAACACCCTGCTAACTTGCCAAAGTGTCTTCAACCTCATTTTGCACAGAGCTAAAATTCTACACTGTCCATTTTACAAAAAGGTACAAAAATATCGGAATCTTTGCTCAATAAACAAATCAATAAGGCTCGTACAGTTATTGAAAACAGCACCTATGCTAGCTTCCATTGTGATAGGGGCACAAAACTGCGTAAATCTTTTTTCGAAATTATAAAAACATTGTTTTAAAAAGGATAAATCTCATACAGAGCCTGAAGTGATTTTTTAGAAACTTGGCTTTAACACCACGTAAAGAACTTTAAATATACATGTAATTCAGAATTCACATCTCACTGTACTTCTAAGGAAACCATTTCATGTGAACAAGGAGTAAATAAAGGAATGTTTTAACTCATCTCCTACCACCACAGCTAGAGTTCATCGCGATTATATGATTCATCTTGTTCATAGAGCTAAAAGAAAGTACATAGGGCCCAAATAAAGCGCATGCTAAAACTTAGAAGCTGAAAATTGAAATAAAATTGATATACCACAACAAAGTCCCATCCATTAGCATGTTGGCCAAGAAAAACTGAAAGTTGGACAGATTCTACTGTATGCTGAGGACGGATAAGCAGGTTGGGAAAAATGACACAGGACCTGAACAAGTTATGAGAAATGGTGCCGATATTAGATGACTCCTTTTGAATCCCAGGAGCATTTAAACAAGCACTGGATGGAACAGGTTTTGGACTGGAAGTTAGTAGCATGTGAGAAAATCTCAGAGACATGAATTTAGGTTCAAAAACAGACCAAAAAGGTAAAAACCACGGAATAATCTACACTAAAAAATACAAACCAATTACGGATACAATACATACATGTATAAACATAAGTGAATTGTTGAATAGACCAATTCCTGTGTTATATGTTAACTCATAAGAACAGTTTGTTTTTATAGTTGAATCAGCAATGCAACAGACCTGAGGTAATTATGAAAAAAACAGCACACAAAACAAAATGCAGCAAGCAGGCTTCAAATTTAATTTCTCTCGACTTGGTAAAAACTAGCCAGTGCCGATACACTGTTCAAGACAAAAGAAAGGTTTCTTTTTTAAAGCTGAAATAATGAACACACCCTTTTTTCAGCATTTCTAGTGCCTCACTTAACTCAGACTACAGAAATCACTTGTGCTAGTCTATGACACATTGACAAATACAGTAAAAATAAAGAAACATACATTATATATTGTAGTTTTTATTTGCAGCACACAAACTTCCACTGATGGGTCTATACCCCTAACTAGCCCCATCCCGCCGCCTCCTTCAAGACTCTGGTGTCAGCAGCACGCCTTCATGCTCTTTAAGAGAGGTCCTGGTAACTTCATGCTCTCATCAGCTGTCTTCTCACACCCACCCCAGCAGTGCTCTGCAGGGTTCTGCCGGTAGATGCCGTGACCCCCGCAATCCCTCTCTGTCCCAAATTAGCCCCTCCCTTCTCAGTACTCCGGCGTCAGCGAGCGCGCCGTCATGCTCTTGGACAGGTTCTTCATGCTCTCCGCCATCTTCTCAAACTCTCCCCAGCGCTGGCTCTGCAGGGAGCTCTCCTGTTTGTTGCGGCGTTCAAGACCGGCCAATGTTCCCTCCATGGTGTGCATGTGGTTCTGCATTCTTGTGGCCTCCTGATCTCGCTCTGCAACCTAGAATTCAGAAAAAAAAAGTAGTTTATAAGCACCGGAAAACTGATTCCTCTCTAGATTGGAATTCTGTGAATTTCTCAGAAATGAAAACTTTCTTCAAATCCCAGCCGCTCAGGCCCAGAACTTTAAACTTGGACAAAGGCACCACCGTGTACCTACAAAGCATCATGCTCATCGTTTCTTGAAACAAAGTCTGCCGTTGTATCTCCAAATCAAATGACTGTACCCTACGCCACCTTGGTAAAGAGTTTCCTATCTACCTGAAATCAGCAGGTATTTAATGCAGACATAAAAGTTCTCTATAATTCACAGTTTTTTGATGCAAAACGTGGCTGTGCAAATCCTGAAATCTCATATTGACTAATGTCTATGGAAGACACCTCAAACTACTATCAATGTGCACTGATGCACAGCCACTATGAAATGTGAAAAAAGTTCTTGTGAAAACAATGTGACTGGATCTCATGAAATGAGTCTTATGTCCTTTTTTATCAGTTACTTTATCTTAGATTGCATCAGGAAGATAAAATTGAGCTCTTGGTTTTGACGTCACTTGGTGTGGCATCAAGACAAAAAAGGGATATTATGTGAGTGAAAATGAGGATTCCTATTGCTTAATCAGAAAGATTCTGCTCAAAGTTCTTTTTTTATTATTTATTTAAGTCTTTCTGGTAAGGACACCAAGGATTCCTCAAAAGTGCCCTAGGCACTGTAGCTCATAAGCCTGAAGAAACCTGTAGAGAGGAGACATTGAGAAGAAGTTACAGTTTTAGTCATGGCTCCAGGAAAACCCCAGAAGAATATTTTAGGAAAAACCCATGAAATCAGGCGGGGACTGAAAACCCAATCCACATGTGGACTGGGTCGGGAATTGAACCCAGGACTACTGAGGTGGAAAGTGAGGAAAGACCCACTATGCCAACCTGACCCCCTTTTAAATGGCTCTTGAGACTCATTTTTGTAAGATTTGGTCACTGATGTGATTTCAGATAATTTCATTGTTCCCCAGCATTTAACCTGTTTTTGCAGCTCTGACACGTGATCGACCAATAGCATCTTGTCCCTGCGCAGCTGGGTGTTCTCAACCTCCACCCCAGAGAGCCGGCCCTCTAGCTCAGCCAGCCTGCTTCGCAGTGTGTTTTGGCTCAGGTTGGAAGTTACATGCTCTTGCTCTTGCTTCGCTAGCTAATAGTGGAAAAAAAAGTGAAGTGTCTGGAACCTGGAACATATATTGGATTATGTCAAACATGTTGAGTTTACCCATAGTTGGACAACATCAAAAGTAATGTGGATATGTATGAGGACTCGCATACCAATTTCTGGGAGCCGCTCGGCCAACGCATACCTCATGTGTTTTTAGCTGAGCAGAAATCAATTGAGAAACATACACAGAATGATACAAGTACATGATACTTGTACTGTAGTTGCATTGTTAAAACATCTGCCAGTGCATTTAACCCTAAAGGGTCCTTTTTTAGACCGCTGCAGGGGGCGTCCTGCCCTGAAAGTTCTCAGCTGTGCCGTAAATTATTTCCTTAAAACTTGGCATGAGCATGAAGGCATTCATTAAGCGTACATTTGAGAAGTTCTAACTCAGTCCGATGACCAACGCCTTTGCCGCTATATGGCAATTTACAGTGCATACTTTAATGTGAGTCAACCTTTGCACTGAGCACGGTAAATGAGAAATGTTGGCCTACCTGACTTTAAAAAATGGCAGTTTTACGGGAAAAAACACATTCGAAATTCATAAAATTGGTGTCAAATTACCACATGATATTAGTAGAAAAACCATAAGGGCTCGGCACCATCGATACCAAAATTCACCTTGTTAACATTAATCTTTTCAGGTCAAGCCACATTGAGTGTTTCATAATGAAATGACACTGTGTTAAGAATGTGAGAGGTAACATGACTGACCTGGTTCATCAGATGCTGTACACGGTCCCGTTCATACTTCAGCTCCTCCCTGGCCTTATCCAGCTCGTACTTGAGCTGCTTCTCTTTGTCACGGACCGTCACCAGTTCGGTGATGTTGGAAGCGTGTCTGGTGTCACGGCTCTCCCTCAGTGATCTTTCCTGCGAGAGAGAGAACGGCACCCGGGGTTAAACTCCATGGCCACGGCTTTGCTTGGAGGGTGCTGGTTCAATCTGAGCAAGTGGCTAACATAGATCTAGACTTTGTGCAGGAGCTGTTGAGGGCGCTCTGCATGAGACAGCTAGGCACTTTCAAAGTGCCAAGGCTCCCATGCCACACACCTATAAATATGGAATCAAGCTGCTCACAAGTGTCTTCCACAGGCCAATTTTTATTTCAAAGTTATTTCCAATCCAAGCTATTCGGACTTGGCCAGAACTAGCTCACTGATTTAAAAAACAGAAAATTCAAGGCCAGTTCATACAAGCAAAGAAGGCAGTAAGGCAAGCAGCTGGCAGAAGTCACGGTATCTATGAGAGACAAGATATATTCAAATTTTGCAGATTTCCAGGATGAAAGCTTGCCATCAGATCAAACTTCCCACAATAATAATCTAACAAGCCTTTTAAAGGTTACACGGATAAACATATTGGGAGATACACAGGTTGTAGTAACTTTGGCTCTGGAAATTTTGGATCTCAGAACTTACTCTGTCCAGCTGTTTCTGTAACTCAACTACCTGGGTCCCCAGCAAAGCATTCTCTTTGACCAGGTTGGCAATGTCATCTGACATCTACTCACAACAACAGACAAAAAACTGGTAAATACACATTACACAAGATGGGAGTCAGCAACTGCCCAATAGCATAGCGTGAGTGAACCGTGGGGGAAATGTGAGAGTGAACTACCATTTACAAGTAACAAGTCGATCGATTCTTAAAAGTGTGTTTAGAAAAAGCAGTCCCACACACACAAAACTGTGGTCGAACCAATTAATTTGCAAAATCACACTGGGATTTTACTATATATGCATTTGTCCTAGAGTTCAAGTACTCAAGGTAAGCCTTGAAATGTATATACTTTCTTAACATGAGGAATGCAACTCTAAGTTTAAAACAGGCAATCACCTGCACCAAGCCTTAGTCAGTGTTCTACCATTTTTGACAACATACATCCTGAAAAGTCGGAAAACAAGGAAGTCAGCTGATTTGAGGAATTATTGTACACGAGCTGTTACCTTGTTCTTCAGGTACCGGTCTTGCTGGGCGTTCAGCTCTGTCTCCTTCATCTTGTGCTGCATCACACGAATCTCATTCTGCAAATACAATTGTATCTATACTTCTTGAATTTTTTGCCCATGACACCCCAGGCTATGGCAGTAAACTTATGAGGTATTCTTTGGAGATCTGCCGAGCATGAATTACTGACTTAGACTTGAAGTAGACTCGAGTTGAAGCGATGTGACTTGCACCAGTTCATGATATATGGGTCAGTACTTGAGCACACGACTCCAATGTACAGCCCGGATGACCACCCCTTCCGATACACAGCCAGTTGGCATAGCAGACAGTACAACTGCCATGGGGCCTTACCCTGAATTCCTCCACAGCCTTGTCTTGGATGGATGCAGTGCTGGAGTAGTAACGATCCTCCAACTCCTGAAGCTGGGTCTGCACCTTCAGCAGCTCCGCCCGCTTGTCCTCCAACGCAAGCTGGGTGTGTCGTAGCTCGTCAGACTTCTGGTCCACCTGTACATGAATGAACAGAGATTGTCGCGACCGCGTGACGCTTGGGATAATGGACATGACGTTTTTACACACCTGCACCAGAGGCAAAGCTAAATCAACTCCTTTTGTCCAATCCACTAAGAAGGAGAGAGAGAAAGATTCTAGAATGCCAGTCAGGTTCTTGTCCAGGGTCCAAAGTAAGGCCAGAGAAGCCTAAACATATAATTTGTTGAGACCTGAAATCAGCCCAACAGTTGCAATGAAAAACCCTGCAATCAGGCCTTTGTCTGCAAACCAGCATCCTTGAATATTCACAAAGATTGAAACAAGGCTTGAAAAGTCAGGCTGGTACAATGGTGCCTTCAAACCATTCAAACTCTGTCATCCAGGTTCGAATACCAGGCTGACATGTCAATTGGGTTTTCAGGCACTACCTGATGCTGTGGCTTTCCCCGAGAAAATTCAACTGTATTGGAGGTTGTCTCCCCAAATTTCTTGAACATTTTTTTTCTTTGTCTTCTCTTCATAAGGTACTTTTGAAGAGTCTTTGGTTTCAAGGCCAGAATTGAATATAGCAATATTAAAATATGCGTATATACAAAAGGCAAGGACAGTGCTCATGCCTGCAGAAGTTACATCTTCAAGAACTCATTCAAATCAGCACCTGTGCAGTGAGTATCCTGATCTTCTGCTCGGCACTCGTCAGCGACGTGCTGCCTTTGTCCAGTTCTTTCCTCGCGTCAAAGATCTGCTCCTCCTTCTGCGCAATCTCCCTCAACGTCATCTCGTTCTGCTTCTTGAGCTGCACAATCTCCTCCACCAGTAGTTTTTTCTCCCGGTTGTGGGTGTCTTGTCAGAGAAAAAAGACATGCTGAACTGAATACTTCCCGGAACTCTTTTCCATTACAACAGAGAATTTTGAATTTTGATTTATTTGCTTATTATGTTTCCTTTTTCATTCGTACACAGACAGTAAATAGTATTACTTGATCAAGAAATATGAACCATTATGGGCTTCAAGTGTAAGGCCAGTCAACAGTCCTGTGCGGACAGTCATAAGAACTCCAGTGCAGAGGCTTCTGTGCACTTATTCATATCACAGTGCACACAGATTTTTTCATGAGAATGTTTACAAACATGCAGCATTCTATAGCAATGCATTCCAGTATCTGTCACTTTTTCTTGTTTGTGAACTTTGTAAAAGTTTTTGGGCGTAATTGAACCAGCAAATTCTAACACACAATATTATACTGACTGTTAGTTACACGCATGAGCTTCTGATTTTTCTTTTTCTAAATTATCTTTTTGGGGGGAATAAAAAAAACAGGCCCGAAAGTCATGATTTCTCAAATTCAGATGTACGGTTTGTTTCAAGTTTGATCCAACAACCAAGTTCTGATCAACAATTTTCAAATCTGGCAGTGCTTGAACTGGAGTTGTCTGGGCAAGAGAACTAGCGAGTTCTAGAAATGAAAATCAAATCCTGCAGGTAAGGGTTTCTGATCATTGTATTAAACAAAGACTCACCCTGCAACAGCTTGAGCCGGCCATCCAGCCGTTCCTTCTCCGAGTTCACCATGTCCAAGTTGGATTCTTTCCGCTTGATGTCCAAGTGTAGGCCATCCACTGTGGATTGCAAATCCTGTTATAAAAGTAGTCATCACAACTGATATCATCGAATCTCGCAGATTGGCAGACTTTGAATTCTTCCTGCAATTTGTTGACAGATGTACATGTATGTCTTTTGCTAATGGTTCAAACTCATTTAGTTAAATTCAGATGCAAAAGCTGAAAAACACCTATTTTACAAAAAAGGAGAAAACCATCGCTGTCTTTCCTAACTTTTACTGAACAATTTCAATTCTCCTTTCTTTCATATTTTAGGAAGATCATAAAAGATATGGAGGAATGGACTGTCCCTATTTATAAACAAAGTAATGGACTGTCTCTTCATTCGTTTGATGACTTGAAATGACAACAAAAATCATGTGGCAAAAAATTTGAGCATCTTAAAACTCAGTCCAAAAGGTAATGGCGAGAAATTGGGCACACAATCAGTTGGGGAGTATGCTATCGCATGTGCAGCTTATGCTTCAAGATTAACACTTGCAAGTCAAGAGTGCAAGAGTGCTATTTTTTCAGTTAAAATTGGACAGCCCCTCTTTTGCCCCTTTTCCACTGTACACAGAAACAACAATCTACTACAACTAAAACATACATGTATTACATAACACCTGCATAAATCCTTGTCATCTGATTGGTGGATCATTGATCACATGTCATTCAATTATTCGTTCTATTAAACAGTACCTGTTGAACAGAACTTCATTTCACTTGACTGGTTCCCATCCCCATTTCATATATTTCATTCCCAGTAAGGAGGACAATAATGTAGGGATGGGAACCAGTCTACTATTGCACAATACTACCAGTGCGGTGGTCACACTTTGGTCACAAATCTGTTTTGCAAAACGGCTGACGCCACAACACATGAGGACCATTTGTTCTCCGAACAGAAGAGGAAATGATGACGAAGATTTATGCAGGTGTTGCATTCATGTGTGTACATGTAGACAGGTACATGTACATGTATTGTGTACTTTGGCTTTGTCTTGTGAAATGGAACATTTCATGTGTTGCCTCACCATATCATTCTTACCACTGCACTCATAAACATTCATTATCCGTATACTGCCCTCTATAGCTGATGCACAAATCTGTGCTGTAGTCAAGGCCAGTCATAAGTAATAGGGAAAAAATACTTTTGTTGCAGTTCATTTGAATAGCTCGAGACTTGAATTCAGACAGGAGGTCTTGCGCTCGACTTGTGATGGTTTTGAGGTCTCAACTACTTCACTGGCATGAATTCAACGGTAGCCAACAAACCTTGAGCGTGTCCAACATCCTTCCGGCCTCTTCAGTCATTTTGGGCTGCAGATGGGTGGCCTTCCTTGCTTGGTCCCGAGTAAATTGATTCAGTCAAGGGATTCTGACGGAAAAGTCAAGACTTAGATCGCATTTATCCTAATTACCGGGACACTGTTGCTGGAAACCTTCCTGAATCCTCTCAAATCCTGAACAGTGAAGGGAACCAATGGTCTTTGTCTTTCTTCTTAAATTATCCATGGCCGTCACTTGAAGCCCCCCGTGTGAAGCGATAGGAAGTTGGGTCTACCTTTCTTGATCCATCAAGATCCTCAATAAAATTCCTTGTGGGCTCTAAAGGATCTTTTGGAGGCTGAATCCAATAATTTTTTCCCAGAATGAACTGAAAAAATTGATTGCAATGGGATTTGAACTTGAGACATCTCAGATGCTATACTCTCTGAGCTCTCTTAAGTGAGCAATCCAGCTACCATGCATGCCGGTGACCATCTCAGAAACAAGTTATTTTTAAAGGCTCTTGTTGTTTAAGGAAAGCTAACGTTGTGTGCTTTCTACTGACCACTAGAATTATGAATCAATCAATTTATGGGGGAAAAGGATATAGGAAATTGGCCTCCAGTTCCAGGAAGTAGATCTGCTGCTGCAAGTTCTTAATGTACTCCGCCTCAAGATTGCTGTATTCTTCGGACAGTCCTGGGCTCGTTTTCCTGCAGGAAACAATCACACATTGCAGCCCATAAATTTTAATGGAGTTACCAGTAAGACACATTTACTTTAAATAAACTGCTAGCTTTACTGACAAATTAAGGCTTTTGTTACAAACACCACATGTGGAGAGAGCATACCCTGTGACCAAATGACCAGAGCATTTACATCACATGTCCTGCCAAAAAATTTGCACATAAAACAAAGTAAAAAAACTCATTTCTTGTCCGTGGTTATTTTCTTCTCCATTTTCATCACCATTATTAAATTTCATCAAGATTTTAATTTTTTTTTTACTAACTACCAACATGCAGCTATATATGCAAATTTAAAACCCATGAAAAGGTGAAATTTCCTTCACTTTCAATACTTCACTTTCAATGTTTGGCTCCTTTTGGCAAAGGAGCCAAACAAAATCAAACTGCAATCTTGGAAATATATTTAGTTACAAAAAATGAAATCAAAATATAAAAATGGAACACCTTTTTCTTTTACTTGGCCTTACTGAAGGAAATACAGATACAAAACAACAAAACAGAGTATTCATTGCAATAGGTAAACAATGAATTATACATGAAAATAATGAATAAATTAATAAAATTTGATCATAGGAGAATGGAAAGGGAGACAGGGACTCAAGGACAAACCAATCTAAGACAGCCAGGATGAACAAAAGTCAAATTCATGTGGCCCAGAGACCTGCTCATCCAATCTTAGACTGGGATAAAAAGTGCATGTACATTAACATAAATAATATTCTCAATTAATATTGTTCATTTGTCTAACTAAATTAATATACAACTCAATATAAATCTAAGTGGAAACAACTGTGCTCTTGGACGTACTTGTATACTACACGTAAGAAGAGAAATGGACCAAAAAAATGAAGTTCCTGGAATGAAAAACGAAATTAAACATTAAAGTGTTGGTAAATTAAGGCAATAAGATCCTCCAACTAAAAAATTAAATGGAAAATTAAAGATGTTCTTCAGTAAAGTAAAATTAACCTTAACAGAAAAGGAGAACATATATAACTACATGTAATTTGGCAGGAAAAAACAGGTTAAACGATGATAATAATACACATACGTGAAAGCCGTTCCACATTTCCACAGAGATTTTTTGTCACAAACAATAAAATGTAACACATGTAACCCAGCCAGAAATGAGACTGAAGAAGACAGAACCTGTGTGTGTAGCAGTGCTACATGCTACACAGAATTTTAGTCAGGTGATATGCAATAGGATATTGGCACAGCCGATCAAATGGTCTAAGAACCAGACCTTCAAGTGCACACTAATGCTACACACTGCAAGACGAAGGTGCAAGAAAAGGAA